AAGATCAGGAGGAAGTTTCCCAGCCATCAGAGCCCTCCCCACCCTCCTCCCATGGTCTGTGAGGCCAGGTACGCACGTTCGCACCAATTTCAGCAATTTGCCTCTTGAGGGAACCCCTGGCCCTCCACAGAGCTGGCACCAATGCACGCCCCTATAAGCTTCCAGCCTATGGGAGGGGTGGATGGTGGTGGGCTGGCCTGGTCAGGGCGACCGAAGGAAAGCCTCTCGCTCGCCTCCATCGGACTGAAAACACACAGTGCAGCGCCAGGGGAAACTCGCGCCCTCTGCTCCACGACGTGAGACGACTGAGAGACGAGGAGGGCCAGCTGCGATTCCTTTTCCTGACGCAAAGCAGCAAGGGAACTCTTAGCCCCCTCCTTGCGGTTGCCCTTAGACGCTGCTCCGTAAAGGTTGGGGGCCTGCTGAACTAGGGCCGTAGACACCGCCAAGATGGAGCCGAGAATTTTGTGGCACAAATTATCAGATTCTGCTACCTGGCGCCTTGCATGAAACGGGATCTGGGCCATCTCAGCTCCTTTCTCTGCAGCCTTATCCGCCAGGCGATTTGCCTGCCAGTGGACTGGGTCGAAGCCTAGGGTGACTGCATCCTCGTGAGAAAGGTGAGATCGGATCTTGTGCACTGTGATCGGACGAACACCAACAGCGCGCCAGAGGTCCTTCCACATCGAAATCATATTTTTGTGCTTGAAACGGGGCCCTGCACGAATTCCCCGCGCGACACCATCATTATCTATCGCGCACTCTATAGTGCCTGTGGTGAGCTGGGCCGCGCGAGTGGTAGCATGCAGTTCAGCTGCAGGCACTGTCTGGTTATCACACGGCAGAGGGCCAAGCCCCCACGCTACGTGCTGGGCGCCTCGCAAGATGGCAAAGCCCCAGCCGCGTCTCCTCAGCCGAGGATCCGAACCCTCCTCGCCCCCCGCCCCGTCCGACCCGATCACACACCCCGGATCAAGCTCATGAGGATTAATTAGCCTCGAGCTGGTCCGAGAGCTTCTCTTCCCCCTGGATCGGGACACACACGTGCTGGTGCGCCCAGGCCAGGGGGGGCAGACCTCGGAGCCAGAAAGACGGGGCGTCTCCCGACCCAGCTTCCGCCTGCCTCCTCAAAGAAGCGTTGAAACCTGGGATGGGGTCATTCAGAGGGCAACTCCAGAGCTGGCGGAGAAGGGTCTCTTGAGGCGCTCCACACCGAGGGCAGGAAGGGGATGGCCAGACTGGGTTGGGCCCAAGGATGGGCTCGTCATCACACAAGCCACAGTGCAAGCCCTCTTAAAGTTGCAATTCGTCTGCTGCGTGCGACGCCTCATCTAGCATCGCATCGACGTCGCATTCCCCCTCGTATAAGCCAAGCGAGGCTCGCGGAGGATCGGAGGGGAGAGGAGCTCCATCGGGGGCCTGGGGCCTCGGGAAGGGCCTCCTAGCCTCATCCCCAAAACGCCGCGAGGCGGGCCACAGGGCCCCCGACAACATCATTTCTAAAACTCCAGCCTTGTCGTAGGCTCCGGAGGCTCTAAGTTTGTTCAACCTCCGAAGCGGCACAAACTGCCATGATAATGTTCGCTGGCTTTTTTTCCATGCGAGAACATCAAACGCCTCCAGAAAGTCAGCCGTGAGACGTTCTGGGCCACAGGCGAGCACATGGAAAACCTCACCATCCGTTCCAATCCAGGTGGTGGGATCCTGCGGCGTCCAGCCTGCTTCCAGCAGGCAGGCAGCAGTGGCGGTCGCAAAGCCTGACACTCGCTTCCAGCGCGTGGCAGGGTTCTGCAGTCGGGCTAGCTCTTGTCCCCACGCTTTGCGGAGACCATGCTGATTAGCCTCCTGCAGGCTCGGAAGCAAGTGAATCCACTCCTTCAGAACTCGCATTCTGGTCGAGATCATGGGGTCATGGTTGGGGTCCTGGAAAGCACGACGCAGAACAGTGGTAGCACCCCCCCCTTCTCTCCTCCCCACCATGCCCGCCATGGCCGCTCTGGCCTTTAAGGTCAGGGTCGGAGCCCGGGCTGTCCACCCAGTCCGTGCAAACATCCTACAGCGACGGTCCGTCTTCACAACTCGTTTAATCATGCTCGCTCGATGGCTGGCTGACTGGAACCGCTGCTTGCGTACTGCTACTGAGCGTCTCACTCCTACAGTGCCAATGCCAAGGTCCTTGCCCGTTGCGCCCCCCTTCAGCGAGAAACCGCGCCGAGCCAAATCTGCGAGGACCTCCTTGGCCAGGGCAGGGGGGTTGGAACGGACATGGCTTTTGGCCGAAATCTTGAAACCTGAATTGATTAGGGCAGTGCCTAGGCCACCACTAGCCCCAACAGCCTGTTTCACAATAACCTCAGCCTTGCCTATGTGTCGCTGACTCAGGTCACCCACCCAGGTCTCCAGGGCCAGGGGTCGAACACGGGCATGGGCGCCCTCCAGGATATCCCAGAGAGCGACTTTCGAGATGTCAACGCTCTGGGGGCAGCCTGCCAGGAGGCTCCTGGATGGGCGCAAAGCCTGGGGGATGGCACCTGAAGCACGAAGGCGTCGCGGGGCCCTGCGCATATCTAAGGCCAGGAACAAGGGCATGAGAGGGTCGCCCACGCCAGCTGTTATGTCTACTACAGAACGCAAATCTACATGGTCATAGAATTTCTCGAGGTCCCAACGGATCGGGATCCAGCTGCAACCCATCGCCGTTGCGATCTCACACTGGGTCTGCCGAAGTATGGCAGCTCGCAGAGCCGAAAAATCCTTCGCCGCCCGATCCCAATACTGAGCCCGCTCCACCGTCCAGTTCGATATGTCTTGCCGACGCGCTCTGCCCCAGACTCGGTAAAGGCCCTGGGTTAGCGCTATCGGTTTGTCTGCAACTACACTTTTAAATATTAGCTGGACGATGATGAGCCTGACCTGGGGAGGCCAGGCGAGCTCGGCTTCTACTATCCCGATGAGATCTACAAGCTCTTGGAGGGCCTCGGGTGGGCGCCGCAACCAACCGCGCGGGTTCTGGAAGTCAGCTCCCTGCCCAACAACAGGTTTGAAACATTTGAGAGCATGCGCAACTTGGTGACTGGAGAGGGGTTCCCGCGACTGGGCATCACGAGAAGCCCTGGCCCGAACATCTTCCCACCAAGAGGGCTCAGTTTCCCTCGGACCAGAAAGCCAAAGCCCTCCCCAGAGTTCCGCTTTTGACGCAAGGGACTCGGTGGGGTCGTGCAAAACTCTGCCATTCGGGTCGCGCTCAAGGCTGAGGCTCGGCGCCTCCACGCCCCAAGTCTTGGTGTGAAAGTGGATGGCCTCGCTCCCCTGAGTGAGGGAATGGCGCAGCCAGTCCTTAAATCCCCTGGATGATTGCCGAGTGAAGTAGGCTTCAACTCGCCTCAGAATCAGAAAAAGCTTCCTGTGGCCATCCTCCAGGGTCTCCCTGGATGCCTGACCCCTAAGCAGGCCCAGGGCATGGAACACCTCTTCCTCCTTCCTCTCTTCTAGAAGCCTCGGCAGCTTCTGAACTCTGGCCAAAGCAGATTTGAATTCAGCTACTGCTTTTCCTACGGGCTTGGACTTCCTGACAAGTCCGACCCAGGCGCTGAGGCGCGTGTGCAAGGCCGACCAGACTGAGAGGTTGGACGCTCCCGCAAGCCATCATTGTGGCTTTGTCCCGACCAGGGGAACCTGCTGCACATCAATGTGAAATCCTCTGTGCATGTCAGCTTCACTGAAACTACTGGAAGGGCCCCTATTTGTTTGGAACGATTCAGCTGCCAGGCAAAACTGCATATACGACTTGCCTAGGCCACGCACCTGGCCTGGAACCTGCTGCCACTGGTCGATCCCCATGCCGCGCTGGACGAGGGGCCCCCACTCTCTGTAAATGGGTCTCCCAAGGAAGATCTGGGCCCTGGGCTCTAACCAGAGGCGGAGGCTGTGTGAGGACCCAGTGCAGCTGCTGAAACCTACAACAGTCTAGAGTCCCAAGAAGCCCCGTGTGCGGAAGGGCCCAAGGGGAAAAATTGTCCCACGAGAGTGTGAGAATTGTGCTGAGAGCATCAGAAACCAGACAGAAATCAATCGTCCTGGCTCCGCCAGGAGCCTCCTCCGGAGCAGCTCGGAAGACGCCGTGCAGGTAAGTCTGAATGCCACTCTCCGCCACCTCGTCTATCTCCATGTTCCAGTCGCCCGCGATGACGTACGGCTTGCCCTGAGAGCGCACGTGCCCTGCCACCTCTGCGAGGATGGTGGTGTTCTCCCCTTGCAGGCCGAGTCCCGTGACTAGGTACAGCGAGACGAAGACGACATCGATGTCCCGCATGCGCGCCGTCTGGCTGGTCCACTGCGTCTCCATGCTCGTGGCCCGCTCCTCCTGCACTGCTCTCTTCACCTCAGGGTAAAGCGGCGCACACCGCAACCACTTCCTGGTCATGACCCAGACTCCGCCATGATATCCACCACGCGCTGTGCCAACTGCCGACTGGGAAGTCACAGCCCAGCCTGACCGACTGAGCCTCTTGATCGCCTGCACCTTCCGGGCTCCATGGAGGTGGTGTTCTGCAATCATGACAGTGTCCGAGACAGCAAAGCCACCATCTGATTGTAGTCCCACGCCTTCCGGCCCCAAGACGTGGTGTTAGCGAAATAGAATCGGTGCTGGTCCTTGCCCGTGTCTTGCTTCTGCTTAGCCCTGGCCACCAGCCCAGCTCTATCCCTTCCAGGCCGAGACGCGTTCTCGCCAGTCAAGGCTCCCCGCTGGTCGGCACCCCCAGCCGCAGGCTGAGGACGCGTGCCAGCGGGGCCAGCTGCGTGGCGACGAATGTGCACACCTCCAGCAGCAGCCCCCGAACTCGAACCACCCCTGGCCGATGATCCAGACGATCCCCGCTCTGCTCCCAAGACTCCGCTGGTGCAGCCAGGGCGCGGCAGAGGCGCAGCCCTCGGCTCCTCCAGGGGCGCAGCTGGAGGAGCGCCACACAGGGGCCTCTTGAGAGTGAGTGTCGGGGCGCCAGCCGAACGCGAAGTAGTCGATCTCCGCTCTGCTCCCAAGACTCCGCTGGTGCTGCCAGGGCGCGACAGAGTCCCCGCCCTCGGCTCCTCCAGGGGCGCAGCTGGAGGAGCACCGCACAGGGGTCTCTTGGGAGTGAGTGTCGGAGCGCCAGTCGCCAGCGCAGCTTCCACATCGACCTCAGTCACGTCGGAGGTCCGCCGGCCCTCATCACGAGGAAGGCCCAGCAGGTCCCTCATCTCATTTTTGATCCTGCGCAGCTCCTCCCAGTGGCGGCGGAGGGCCCAGCGCAGCATCTCCCTGTCATGCTCCGCAGCCCAGTCAAAGAAGCCGAGGATGTTTACACGATTATCAGCTCCATCTTGCCAGGACTCCGTGCAGATGTCTTCCGCCATCTGGTCTACGGTCATGTCCTGGCGAGACTCCTGCGCCCAGTCAAGGTCCCAGGCCTGCAGGAGCAGCTCCCTGACGTAGGGCTTGCACCACCTCATCCAGCTGTCCGCCCCTGACTCAGGCGAATGCAGGCGAGGAGTCCATCTGGCAGCCGACTCCGTGATACCGTCGTAGATGGCCGCCTCAGGCCCATCCTGGTCGATGGGCTCTGGCGGCGGCAGCCCCGTGGAGCCAGGGGCGGGCCGACCTGCACCGCCCCGCGCTGCTGGGCCAGCTCGATCTCCAGCAGCGCGCCTTCGTGAGGAGCTGGCCTCCTCAGGCTGTTGCAGTAGCCTGATGGGGGCGGCGGGCGGCAAATCCTGGCGGTCCGCTGCTTGAGCCCATCACCTTCCGCAGCTCCTGCCACTGGCGTCCCTGGCGCTGGCTCTGAAGCGGCCGCGGCAGCTGCAGCGCCATCTCCTTCAGGCTGCCCAGCGGCGGGACCAGGCTTGGGTTCGTCACCAGGAGCAGCCCCACCTCCCTCCTGACGTCTGCGCTTGCCTGCAAGGCGCAGTGCCATCTGCTCCTGCTCGGTCTTGAAAGCCTTGGCCTTCTCAGCCGCCTGCCCGAACATGGCTCGGACCGCCGCCGACAGCTCAGACTGCAGTCTTGCTGTGCTGTCAGCCAGCTCGCGCTTGTCAGCCTCCTCCATATCATATTCTGCATCATCGAAGCCCAGGCCCGCGAAGGACAGAGGGATCGACTCGATCGTGCCGTCCAAGATGCCCGCCACGCTGAGCGCCTGGGGCTGGGCGTCCTGCTGCGGCGGTACGAACTTCGCATACAGCTCCACCACCAGCCTGCGGTGCGCCGCCTCACGCTCCTCAAGCTCGTCCGAAAGCTGCTGCACCCACTGGCGCTGGTGCTCGAGCCCCTCAGAGAGGCGCTCGAAGTGGGCCACAGCCTTCTCCAACTTCTGATTGACTTCCGCCACCTGCTTGTGGGCCAAGGTGACCCGCTGGGACAGTGGAGCGACGTACTCCTTCTCAGCCGCTTTGCGCTTCTTCTCAAGGAGGACCCTCCTGTGCTTCGCCGCCGTGGCTGTGTCACCAGCTCGCTCCAACATCGCCACCAGCTGCTCCAGGTCGTTGATCTCCATGTCAGAGTTCGCTTCCTTAGGCTGGGCCACCAGGAACTGGGCCCCTGGCGCCCGAGGCAAGGCTGGGCCTCCTCCACTCGCGTCGTCCTGACCCTTGCCCTTGCCCTTACGCCCCTTGCCCTTCTTGCCGCCTTTCCCAACATCATCTTGCTGCTGTGGTTGGCCAGCATCGCCCCAGACTCCTCTAGGTTCTGGTGCTGCTGCAGGGGACAAGTCGGATAGCTTGTGGCCGCATGTTTTGCAATACAAGCTCCCTCGAACATTCTTCTTGCACCCGCACTTGGCACAGGCAGGTGCCCTTCCAACTTCTTTCCAACCTTCGTAGTCGCCAGGGCCCATGTCTCTCCACTCGCGCCATTGCCCCCCCCAGGCTGGGGAAACTGTGTTGTGCCACGGCGGGCGCCCTGCAGGAACGGCCGCAGGAGGAGCCATGGGAGTAACATGAGGCAGAAACTGGACAGACTCTGAAGGTTCGTCGTCCTCCTCAAGGGAGTGCTCCAGCAGGAACTCTGAAAAGGTATCTGAACCAGTTGCATGGTGCAGGATCACTTGCGGGGGCGCGCCTCCCCCACGCCAAAAAGGCCAAGTGCATGAGCCGAATGGCTACGGACTTGAGCCAAAATGGCTACGGCCCTCCTCCTCCTCCTCCTCCTCCTCCTCCTCCTCCTCCTAGGCGCACTTATGGAACAACCTATGGGTTTCCGGCAGTTGTCTTAAACACAGAGCGTTTCGCTTGCGACGTCATCCAGCGCGGAAAGTGAACTCCACCTGATATTTTTTCTGGGCGTTCGGGGTAAGCGCGACGTCTAAACTCGCGCGAGTACTGAACTCCACTTGGTATCTTCTGTGGGCGTTCGCGGTGAGCGGTGACTGAAAATGCGCGGATGGTGGATTCCATTTGGTATCTTGTGTGGGCGTTCGGGGTGAGCGGCACGTAGGAATTTGCGCGGATCGTGAACTCCATCTGGTTTTTTTTTTGCGGACGTTCGGGGTCGACGGCACGTCGGAACTTGCGCGGATAGCGAAGTCCACTTGGTACCCCTTGTAGTTGTTCGGGAAGGTCCCCATACGCGACGTGCGAACTTGATGTTGGCGCACGTTCTTGTCAAACTCTTTGATTTCACGCGCTTATGAGCGTTTCGCTCGAGACATCCTCACAACATCGAGATCTGGGAGGTTTTTTTTCAAGACGTTTTATGTTAAGCATGAGCGTTTCGCTCGAGACATCCTCGGAAGATGGGGATGTTGAGGTCGTTGGTCTAATTCGCGGACCTCCAAAAATGGGTGTTTCGCTTGAGACATCCCTGGAAAAATGAGATACGCAAAGAGCTCTTGTACGGCATTTTTTTTGGAGCGGTCTCGGATGACCTCCAAGATGGCCCAAGAAACGAACGCATTGAACAACCCATGTGTTTTCAACAGTTTTGTGGGAGCCATAGCGTTTCGCTCGAGGCATCCTCCAAACTTTGCGTTCGGACTGGCACTAGAAGGCGGAATGCTGGAAACGGCCATGGGTTTTCAACAGTTTTGTTTAAACCAAACCTTCTCGCTCGAGACATCCTCCAACTATTGCCTTCTCCTCCTCCTCCTCTTCCTCCTCCTCGTCCTCTTCCTCCTCCTGCTCCTCCTGCTGCTGCTGCTCCTCCTCCTCCTCCGTAGCCATTTTGGCTCAATATGTCCGCTTTGCGTAAGCGGGGAATGGATACCGCTAGTCCGCGGCCAGACCATGCGATTTTCCAACCACATCCACGGGTGAGCTGGCACCCCTCCATATCCCTCGCGCTCAGCTGCGTGTTCATATTTGCGTGCATCCTGGAGCATTTCCCCTTGGTGGACGTCTCCTCTTCATGTCAGAGGCACGGACTCGGACAACGACAAATCCAGAGCTTCACGAAGTGGGGGCTCACGGAGAGAACGTCGACAGCCGCAGGACTACAGTTGGGGTACAACATGAGCGTTTCGTTCGAGACATCCTCCAAATATTGCCTTCGGACGGGCCTGTTAAACAACAAAGCGTTTCGCTCGAAACATCTTCCCAAACAATTGAACTCGCGAAGAAAGTGGACTCCACCTGATATTTTTTCTGGGCGTTCGGGGTCAGAACGACGTCTAAACTCGCGCAGGTACTGAACTCCACCTGGTTTTTTTTGTGGACGTTCGCGGTGAGCGGTGACTGAAGTTGCGCGGATGGTGAATTCCATTTGGTATCCTTTGTGGTCGTTCGGGGTGAGCGGCACGTCGGAATTTGTACGGATCTTGAACTCCATCTGTTTTTTTTTGCGGACGTTCGGGGACATCGGTACGTCTGAACTTTTGTTGATAGCGAAGTCCAATTGGTACTCGCTGTGGTTGTTCGGGCAGAGTGCCTACGCGACATGCGAATTTGATGTTGGTGCACGTTCTTGCCAAGCTCTTTGATATCACGCGCGTCCCGTTCATGTCAAGAAAGGTTACTACCATTACCGAGATCGGGAGCAGCTTCCCTCAGTGGATGCAACCCGCTGATATTGGTGTTGGTGTCAACCTCGAGGCCTCCCATGGTTGGAGGCTTTCATATGGTTGTCTCTTAACGGGGCTTTTCCCGCAGTGACAATACATTTGTATAGGGGCCTATGAAGAGAAACTTTGGAGGGAGGGTTGATTGCAACATCCTTGACGAGTCTTGTGTTTACACTGATTCTCCTCCTCCTCCTTTCTTGCGCACGCCGCAGGGGCACCAACTGGCACCGGAAGCGCCAGCCTCCTTCTCCTCCTCCTCTTCCTCCTGTTCCTCCTCCTCTTTTCATGCTCCCCTTTGCCCTCTTGGCGCGACTCCAGGGCGTGGACCGCCGCCGCGACGCCGGGCGCCGGGGCGCCGCGCGCGCTGACCGAACCCCGGCTCGGCGCGAGGCGCCAGCTGGCCAGCCTGCCGGGCTACGCGGGCCACGTGCCTGGCCGCGTTGCGGAGACGCCCCCCGCCAGTTCCGCTTCTGGGCCAGTGGGGAGGGAGCAGGGAGGTGGTTGTGGGACGCAGGCATGGCGGAAGTCCGCGAGCTCTCGTCGTCGTGCCGGCCTTCGCCTAGGCCTCCTGAGCTGTCAGAGAGAGGCTGCTGGCGGCGGCGGGGGGGCCCGCCTCGAAAAAGTAGGCGAAGGAGTCTCCTCCGGTGCACCGCAGCCCTCTTGGCCTCGCGCCTGAGGCGCGCCTCGGAGCGTTTGACCGCGATCAGGGCCCACTGCTCGGGGGAGAGAGGCGGGGGAGGAGGCAGCGGCGGCGGAGGAGGAGGGGAGGAGGCGGGAGGAGATCGTAGAAAATCCTTTACTTCTAGCTCCTCATCCACTCCAGACTCATGCATTATAGTATTCTGACTAGGGCACTCAGAAGCAGGTGTCGGGGCAGGAGTATGAGCAGGAGTTGGAGCACAAGGGGATTGTGTCGTGGCCTCCATGAGATCTGCGCTGAAACGGTGTGCCTCAGGGTCTGCTCTTTTTGTCCTCGTAGCCCCGCCTGGGCGCACGGCAAAGTCGGGCGCGGGGTCGAATTTGTGCATCACAGAGGTCGGGCAAGTACATCCGTCGAAGATCATTCAACAGGTCGGTTTTGTTGATGGCATGCTCATCGTCGTCGTCGTCAACACACGTGTCACTGTATATGTTGTGTATGGAAGACGAAATGGCAGCGGCCAGCCGTGCACACATCTCTGAGGGATAGGTGTTTTTGTCGCTTTGGTTTCGGGGCCTCTTAGAGCCTCCAGGAGGCCTCTTGGAGCGGAAGGCTCGGATTCTCGGTTCGTGGTCTCCATCTTGAGCCTCTCTTCGGGCCCTCCTGGGGTCCCTTTGGACCGTCTTGGGCGCCTCTTGGGCTGTCGTGGGGCTCTCTTGGACGGTCGTGGGCCTCTGTTGGAGGCCTCTTGGGCCGTCTTGGGGTGGTCTTGGAAGCTTCTTGGGCCGTCTTGGAGCGTCGGAAAGGCGAAAAGGCGAGCAAGCCAAAAACCTTGAAGCACCTAATGGAAATCAATGGTTTTGGCGCTCTGAGGCTTCGTGGACGTTCATTGGGATCTCGTTGGGTGCCTCTCGAGGGCTTCTTGGAGACTCTCGGGAGTCGTTGTCGAGCCTCTTGGGGTCTCTTTCGGGCCCCTTGTCGCCTTTTGGTTCCTCTTGAGAGCCTCTTGGAGCCTCCAGGAGGCCTCTTGGAGTGGAAGGCTCGGATTCTCGGTTCGTGGTCTCCATGTTGGGCCCCTCTTGGGGCCCTCTTGGGGTCCTTTTGGACCGTCTTGGGCGCCTCTTGGGCTGTCGTGGGGCCCTCTTGGGCGGTCTTGGGCCTCTGTTGGAGGCCTCTTGGGCCGTCTTGGGGTGGTCTTGGAAGCTTCTTGGGCCGTCTTGGAGCGTCGGAAAGGCGAAAAGGCGAGCAAGCCAAAAACTTAAAAAGCACCTAATGGAAATCAGTGGTTTTGGCCTCTTGGGGCTCTGTTGGAAAAGGTCGGGGCTCTCTTGGGACGTCTTGGAAGCTTCCTGGGCCGTCTTGAGGCCGTGTTGGGCGTCTTGGGCCGATCGTTCGGTGATTCGGAACCCTCTTGGACCGTCGGGGCCCTCTTGGCGCGCTCCGGGGAGCGTGGAAGGCCGCACCCAGGAGGAAAACCATCTCTGATCTGAGTTTGCCGGGAGTGTCCCGGGACCTTGCCGGGGTACTTTCCTGCCGGGGACCCCCAGGGGCCGCTCCGCGCGCGCGAAGTATAGAGTTATTGTCAACAAGTTACCGGAGATCTTAGCACGCCTCTGGCCCGTTGGGCCGGCGAGTTTTCGGCATCGAGATAGGCCGAGGACGGCTCCAAATGAGTCCCCAGACGAGCCCCGAAGAGGGCACAAACTGACCCTAGAGGGCCTGGAGGTTCGAAAATAAAAAACAACCGTTGGGAAAACAATGTTTTCAGCCTTCTCGCTTTTTCGCTCTTGATCGGTTCGGGGGGCATCAAGATAACCCCAGGATGGCTCCAGAGAGGCGCAAACCGAGGTCCACACAGGCTCAGGGCTAGCCAAATAAGGCCCAAATAATTGAAACTCCATTAAAACCCATTGGAAAATCTATTTTTCAGGCCTTCTCGCCTTTTCGCTTGCGATCGGCTCGGGAGGCGTCAAGATATCCCCAGGACTGTTCCAAATGAGTCCCCAGACGAGCCCCGAAGAGGCCCAAGGCTGGCCGAAGAAGGCCCACATAGTTGAAAATCAATAAAAACCCATTGGGCAATCATTTTTTTGGGGGCCGTCTCGCAATTTCGCTTACGATCGGTTCTTGAGGCGTCGAGATAGCCCCAGGACGGCTCCAAACGAGTCCCCGGACGAGCCCCGAATAGGCCCGAGGCTGGCCCAACAGGGCCCAGAGAGTCGGAAAATCAAAGAAAACCCGGTAGAATAACAATGTTTTCGGCCTTTTCGCTTTTTCGCTTCCGGTTGGCTCGGGGGGCGCCAAGATGACCCCAGGATGGCCGCAGAGAGGCGCAAGACATGCCTGAAGATTCGAAATTCGTTTGGGGGGGTGTCAGGGGGGTGCGCTCTTTCAAGGGCCCCCCGCCTTATAAACATATATGAATAGGAGGAAAAGGAATAGGAATGGGAGCATATATAAATATATACATAGAGAGAGCCTTGGCAGTTTGTTGGTGGTTTTGGGTTGTCGTTTCGTCTCATTATTTCGTTTGGGGGGGGCGTTCAGCAAACCACATCTAATGCGTCCCTCAACTGTGCAGGGGTCAGGTTGGCAATGCTCGGATTCGGGGCAGCATATCGACGTGTTTCCAGCTTGTACAGCAGCCGATCGTGCCGCTTCTTGTCGCGCCATCCCGTCCACTGTGAATTCGATCTGTACACCTCCGTTTAAGACTTCCTATGCGCCCAGGAGCACCCGTTCGGGGCGTCCTTCCGGCGGGAGAACGTCATGTGCCTCGAGGCTCATCCTTCTCCTCGTTCCCCGTCCAAGGGGAGGAAGGTACCCACCACCAGGCCTCCACTTCCGGGTCCATGTTGGGCCCAGTTCTTTGTGAATATGGCATGTGGCGCTCCCGAAGTGGGCCACGCGCTGGCATCCACGCACTCAGATTTCGGCCTGAATGGACGTGTGGATGCTTTTGCGATATCCGACGCCGTGAGCACAAAACACCATGCCGCGACAAAAACACGGCCAAACTCTCGGTCCAACTGCTTGCTGGTGCCCCTGGAGCCGCATCGATCCAGGATAGCCTCCCCCGGGCTCAAAAAAGAGAGGGTAACGAAAATCGCCCGTGGCGTCTCCTTCCGCAAGTGCCCGTCGCGGAGGGGTGGTTGGTGCTTTCTTCCGGAGGAGGGGCAGTTTCTTTCAACTGGTCCCGAGACCCTAGACCCTTTCCGAGGTCCTTCTGGGTCCGTTTTTCGGGGCAGACTTAGCCGTGGGGACGAGAGTCCTCCAAGAGACTCAGGCAAACCAGAATTATGCCAGCTCAGAGAGGGCCGCAGTTGTGGCGACTCGACCTCCTCCGACTCTCTTCTCCGGGCATCTCGAGGGGCCTCCGTGGAAGTGGCCCTCCGCGGCCGGGCGTGGCGCCAAGTGCTGCGTGGGCCCCATCGTTCCGAGCGACCTGGGCCCGCTCGGCCAGGTCGTGCAGAAGTGACGCACCCGCGCGGCGGTGGGCGGGCCGACCGAAAGCCAAGGGCTTCATGGTGGCGCACCCGAGAGAGCGCGTGTGACTTCTTAAAAGGAGGGGGCCTTCTTAGGGCTCGGGCACTTCTAAGAAGGCTTCGAAAAAGGCTTCTGAGAAGCTGGTCTGGCTTTTAAGTAGCTCCCTGCCTTCTTAGACTTCCCCCCCGCCTGCTTGGAAGGTCGCCCCCCTCGCGCTACCCCTTGTGCGGGCCGACAAGCTTCGGACCCTTCTAAAGGCGCCTACAGAGCTGGCTCGGGTGTCTGGGCTGGCTGGAGGCAGAGGGGCATAGGATGGTCTCCAACGCCACAGGACGGCTCTGGCCATGTCAGAGCTAACAGTCCAGGCATGAAGCCACACCGGTTCCGCGTCTGGCTGGCTGGGCCGGCTGAGCTGGTCGGGCTGGCCAGGCTTTGTTGGCTCGGCTTGGCTGGCTGGCTGGCCGAAGTGCGCGATCCTCGAGAGGAGCTGCTGGGCGGTCCGCCCTCAGGTGCTGGCCGTTGGGCTCTGAGTCCGAGTAGGAGTTCTGGCAACACGAGGGCCCCAAGGAGCGATAAAGGTTACATCCTGCATCGTGCAGCTTCTCAGCAGAGCGCAGGCGCGAGGCTGACGCTCGAGAGGCAGAGCTGAGCGCTCGCGAAGCAGAGCGATGGTTGGGATCCTGCATCGTGCAGGGAGTGGAGTTCTGGAAGCATGGGGACCTAGGTCCCCACCTGGGGCGCGGTCCATGACAGAGCAGCTGCCCTTCTCATGGGTGGCGGCGCGAGGGCGCGAGCGCGTGCAGATCATCGCGCGTCGTGCATCCCTCGGCGCGCCGCGCGAAGTCAGGTGAAGACCTTTGCGAAGGACGGGGCGGCAACTTGCGGCTCAGAACGTCGCCCGGCTTTGAACTGTTGTATGTTCTGCGGCTTGCACGAGGTGCTCTGGACGCGGGATCGCGTCCTACCTACGGATCGTGGGAACGACACACAATTTCAACTTGCGGCTCGGAAACGCACCCTGGAATATGAGTTCTGGCAACACGAAGGCCCGTGGCTCGGTCCCTGGTACGATCGAAACGGGTACCAAAAGGATGGGCATCAAGACTCACAGCAGTTCTTGTTCATTTCGAAACGGGGTCGCTGTCAGTGCCGCGGCGGGCGTTGTCTGATTGAGATCGAAGCTGGTTGTAATTTTCTGTTGAGCATCCTGGCAATTTTTATCCGTACCAATATCGGGCGTCTTGAGTGCGAGCCGACAGGTTGGCAACCTTCGACTCAAGATCGCGCCTCGGAATCGAGTTCTGCCAGCGCGAGGGCCGCTGGCTGCTGTTGGTCTTGGGCAGCATCCTGCGACCCACACGGTGGAGGCTTTCGTTAAGGAATGTGCCCAGGAAGCTTCAGACCCTGGAGGATTCTTTATCTGATGATGGTGGCGGCGATTTCCAGGGCCAAGCCTGAATTTGTGTTCCACCAGCTTCTGGGCCCTGGATTCCTTATCGAAGGGCTCATCACCCGAAGCCCTCGCCGTAACCTCGCCCCTGTGCGGAGCGATGACCAAGCCACTACGCTCAGGAGGGGCGCTGACCCAAGGCGCCAGGTGAGGTAGCCAGACAGTCGGCAAGTTTCGTTCGGTTCGTTCGGGCAAGCAGTCGGGACCCTTCAGCCCACTCCAGCTCCCGTTGAGCCCACCTGAACCCCCATCCTCCCTCCTCCGAGCTTTGAGCTGCGGACATTGTCGAGCGATCGCCCCGATGCCCTCGATGGCCCTCCTCCCAGCCAGTGCTGGGAGAGGGTGGAACAACATCCAAGAGGATACGAGAGGGAAGAAGGACGGACGACGATGATGACGATGCTGATGACGATGATGATGGTGATGGTGATGGTGATGGTGATGGTGATGGTGATGGTGATGGTGATGGTGATGGTGATGGTGATGGTGATGGTGATGGTGATGGTGATGGTGATGTGATGGTGATGGTGATGGTGATGGTGATGGTGATGATGATGATGATGATGATGATGATGATGATGATGATGATGCACCTGGGGGGGGACGAGAAGAGGAGAAGGTGGTGTCCGTGTGCGCCCGCGCTGTGCGGGTGCTGGAGTGGCCCGCGCGTGGGCCCCAGCCCCTTGGGGGGAGACGAGGCCCACGTCGGCGCGCCTCTCCTTGCGTGGGGGCCCGCTTCCTGCCGAGCCTACCCAGGGTCCGCGAGGAGGTGAGAAATGGTGTGGTGCTCCTGGGGTCGTCGCGGCAGTCGCGGCGGAGAGAGCGGTGTGGGGATTGGGGGGGTGGGCGGGTCAGGCGAGGGAGCGTTGTGGACAGAACAAGGTGGCGGCCGGGCGTGCGGTTGAGGAGGAGGAGGAGGGGAAGTGCAAGAGGTGGGACACAATGAAGGGGTAACGGGTTGGAAGTGGCGAGCGGGGCTCTGAAGGTTGGCGCGGCCGCCTGGTCCGCGGCCGCCGTGGGGGCTGTGGCCCCTTCACGGGGGCCCGTGACGAGCGCGGCTCGTCGGGTGCTCCCCTTCTCCCGGGCATTTCGTGGTCCTGCTCCTGCCCACCTCCGTCCCCGTCCCGAGGGTGGCTGCCGTGGTGTGTGTGTGTGTGTGTGGGGGGGAGAAGAGGTTGGGGGGCGAAAGTGGGGCGAAGGGGCTGCACGAAGAGGTGAGCGATGGGTATGTTAGTGCGCCTGGAGATGCCTCAGAGGAGGTAGGATTTGGAGTGACCATCGTTCATGGAGTGTGTGTGTGTGATGTGGAAGGAGGCAACGTGCATGTAGTACATGAGGTTGCGGTTGTGGATGACGGCGCAAAGAGCCGAAGGCGTCGGGCTGGGCGGCCTTAGGAGAGCATGGAGCTGCGGGATTTTCTGAGCGCGCTGCTCGCAGTGGGAGGAATGTGGAGGCTAGCGCTGCTGTGCCGCGTTGTGGCAGTGGGTGCGTAGTCAAGGTGTGGTGTGTGAGTGAGACATGTGGAAGAGGTAGGAGCCAGCGCCAGTATTTGTTATGCCGTCGTGGAGCAAAGCTGGTGGAAGCATGGGGATGCTGCGCCCCGCGAGGGCGGCTGCAGCGTGAGGGGCCTGACGCTAGGAGAAATGGTGTGAATGCTGTTGCTCCTCACGGTGAGGGTGGCCCTGCCACGGGCCCTGCATGCAGCACGGGGCAGGGATTCGTAGCTGCCGAGCTGTGCTGGGGCCGTTGCCGCGGCTGCAGCTGTTCCCTGCGCTCGGTAGCCGCATATTCCCCGAATGGGAGTGCGGAGGGTGGGGGCAGTGTTGGTGGGTTGAGTCCAGTTGGTAGGACTGTTTGTGCTGGTCTTGGTTTCAGTCGCTGGACCCTGTGTCCGCAGTTGGCCTGCTGTGTTGCTCGTGCTGGTTGGTTCGACGGTGTGTGGTTCTCTCGTGATAGATGGTGCGATACACGATGTCGTGCGGTACTCGTTCAGGTTCTCCGTGTCCGTGGTGAGGCGGAGGTTCACGATGTTGTCTGTGATGCTGGCGATGTAAGCTTCGTGCTCGATCATGCGGCTTGGGTCGCCCTCGGTGTGGCCGCCAGGTGAATCAGGGTCCATGCCGTGTTCATGTGCCTGGTATGTGACGTCGTTCGTTGTCCGCTTACCCCATGCCCAGTGGCCCGTGGGTGTCTATTCCCTTGGGTTGGGTGCCGGCTGGATCCAGGTGATGCGGATGTTCTCGCCCTTGTGGCTGGCGACGAGTATGTCTTTGTTCTTGTCCTCTGGGATCCAGTTCTTGTAGGCCTTGCGGACCTGATTGACGTCGCCGTCTAGGTGGTCCACATCCTTCTTGAAGAAGATCGTGACGGGGAAGTACCCTTCTTGTGTCTCAGCTTGTGCGTCTTTTTGTATGGATTGGCTTGCGCTTCCCTGGTCGTAGGCAGGATCGAGCTCGTTCTGGTTGCTGGTGTCCGTCTGTCCTATGTCACTGCTTGCCGTCATTGCTGCCTGGTCCCAATGCAGTGCTCTGATAGGGCTGGTCGCTGTCGGCTCCCTTGGCCGTCGCCTTGGCGTGAGCGTCGGCGCGTGTTGGTGGCGGCTGCTTGGCCTGCGGGGGCGGCAGTCGGATAGCCGGTGGTGTAGTCGATGACATTTGGGTGTCGTATGTGGTCGCAGCCTTTGTCGATGTTCGGCCTGCCGTGGCTGTCGGAGTTGGGCTTCTCTTGACAACTGCAATGCGTGGTGCCTTTTGTCTGGGCATCTGAGTGTTGTCGATGATAGTGCTCTCCTCGTCGGAGTCGTCTGGTCTGATGCTTAAGTGCCGCTCGGATCTATGGTGCCTCGGGTGCGAGCGCGCTCGTGTTGTGCGCCTTAGGGTAGTACGGGGCGTCGGCGGTGAGTACCTCGTATGGTGCGGGGTCATACCACGCCGTAGACGTCGCTCCACTCCATGCTGTCGCGGGTGTGCATGTCGGTGACGTTGCATCTGTTGCATTTGCCACCTCTTGAGTTTCCCTCGATGTGAGATCTGGAGCCGCACTCCCTACATGGGAGAGGGGAGTGACCGTGGTCTCTTTCTTTGGGTCTTCCAAGGTAGGGTCGACCGTTTACCTGATTGGGGGGTGCACCAGCGCGCCAACAGGATCGTCGTCGGCCCATGCGGGGCTTGTGGTCTTGGCGCCATGCTGGTTCCCTGAGAATCTACTGGTTCGCCCCCTCCCACGGTCCTGCAATGTTGAGCACCTTTCTATACCTGGGCCCATTGCTGTATCTCGTTTATCCTTTTTGCAGCTCTTTGTTCCCGCATCCAGTACAGGCCGAATTCTTCTTCTAGTCGGGGTTCTCGACCGCAGTGTCGCATGAGCGGGAGGTCCGTCTTCTGGTGTTCCTTCCACGCATGGTGGTTCGCTTTGCAGTCGAACGAAGAGTTAGGACCAGTTGATCTGCAATGCGGTTGAAGGATAGCGACCAGCACATAGCATGTGTCCAGTAAATGGTTTACAGCCCGTTGGACATAGGGGTCACCCAAGCCTACACATGTGGCCACTACGTCCAAGTTGCCGGCGAAGGACAGTCCTCGAAAAAACGCACCTCAGAAATGCGATGTTCCAACCACATAATATCGAGATGTTTTGGTATCCGTTTTTCCGTAACATAGGGAGGCAATGACATTGCAGATGTGGTCATGTTGAAGTGTTTTGAGAGTGTAGATGTCAATGAAGATACCAGCGTAGTCGTTGTCGTCATCGCAATCATCGCTGACGTCTTCCACTGTATGTAGGTTTCTTGCTTGAGGCAGTCGTGTTCGCTCTTGTGGTCTTTTCCTTGTCTTTCTTTCTGCTGGTTGCTGTCGTGGTATCTCTTCGTATCTTCACTGGGCTTTCTGCAGCTCCGCTCGGAGGTTGGTGATGGTGGCCTTGTTCTTCTGGCTCTTGGTCTCGTCGACGGCGGCTCCCCCCCCCCCCCCGCATAAGCCGGGGTCCCTGTGAGCACATCGGGATTGCCGCCTTCACAGGCTCTGGAGTGACCAGTCCTGTGCATAGCCCTGCGTAGTCGTAGACGGTGGCGTAATGTTCCGCGATGTAGTTCCTCTGCTTCAGTGCCTCTTGCAGCTCGTCGGTGATGTATTTGCAGTTCTGCTCTATTTTGGACATGTGCTTCTCTGCTGTTTCGAGCTCGGCCCTGAGCGCCCCCCTCCCTCCTGCCCGACTCTATGCAGTGCTCGGCGATGTTTTCCTCGTACTTCGATATGTGGTCCTCGGTCGGTGTGTCTCTTTTTGTCGTTGTCGGTCTTGAGGTCCCCGATGGTCTTTAGTAGCTGTTGTCGTTCGTCGTTGAGGGTGTCCGTCTCCTTGCGGTATTTTTTTTTGTTCTCTTTGTTGGCCATGTCGCTCTCGTACTTGTCTTTGAAGCTGTCCCTCTGGTGCTTGTAGGCCTTTGCCTCAGCCTTGTAATGCGACGTCGCTTGCTCTTGTCTTTGGATATTCTTGTTGAGGAGCTCGTAGTGGACTGTGGCGGTGTCGCTTGCAGATCTCGGTGATGGTGCACCAGCGTGTCTATGGTGCCATCGATCTGGATGTGGTGTGGCGCTCCTTTGTCCGTTTTTGATTGGCGGTCTGTGGTCCTCGTGCTAGTTGTCCGCTTCTGACTCCTCGCCTTCCCCGATCATGTTGGTCCTTACCTTTGTGTACGCGTTGAGCTGTGTATGGTGCTCCTGCGAGTTGTTCCTTGCGCATTTGAGTGTCCTATAGTTATTCAGGGCTTTGACCTGGTCTCTGATGATGAAGCTGTTCTTGATCATGGTTTTGGTGAGCGCAATCATGTCGAGGGAGTCCGCATTGGGGAGTTCGGCGCGGTTGTTCCTAATTGCGACGAGCGCGTTGGATATGAGCATTTGGAGCTTGTTGAACCTCCATGTAGTGCATACCAATGAGGATCGTGGCGGCTCGTCCCATCGGGGGTGGTTGGTCGCGTCCTTCTTTCTCTCATGGGTGAAACGCCCGAGATCATGGTGTCGATGGTGTTGTGCTCCATGGTCGTCTTTTCGTTGCCGCTCTGGCGGTCCGACTTCTCCTCCTTCTGGTGCTTGGTGATCTGGCTCTTGTCCTTCTGGGTACTTTTATCGTTCTTCCAGCTCCTGAGGGGGTTGTCCTCCTTCCGCCTGGCCAGACCTGCACCGACTGCTGGTTTGGGTCGTGCTGCTGGATTCTGTGACGGTTGTGATCGTTGTGGGCGCGGTTGCCATTCGGGTTGGCATTTCGGCGCCATCGCGGGATTTTGTGGTGTATGTCGCGGGGGATATTGCGCGCCATGGTTTGGTTGTGCGTGAAGAGTTTCTCATGCTTTGTGAAGCCCCGCCTGTGCCACGCAAGTGATCTCGATCCTGATCTTGCCGTGGGTGATGGCATGACCCAGCGCTGGGGACGAGCACATAAGTTCAGGTGGTCGCTGTACGCTTCTGTCGCGGGCCTGGAATGGCCAAGCTTGGCCGCCGCCGCGAAAACCTTAGGGCCTGTCCCTCGGGAGGGGCGGGTTCGGGTGCTTGCGGCTTTCCCTCCTCCGCTCTCTCTCCCTGGAGGGAGAGAGGGGGGGTATGTATTGAGACACGCTCGGAGGCGTTAGCTCGGGACGATCGAAATGAGTACGGAAAGAATGGGGACAATGCCCGACAGCAGTTCCTCTTGATTTTGAACATGACTCGCTGTCCGCGCCGCCGCGGACTCTGTTCATTGAAGACAACAAGCCGCCTGCCCAACAGCGGCTGCTGTCGGTTTTGTACAGCATGTGTTGATCATTGTACCCATGTTTTCCGTACCCATTTCGGACGTCCAAATTTTCCCTGGGTTATGGCATGTCCAAGACGGTGGCGTACCACTACCCTGGGCAGTCGTGCGCGCTCGGCCGCAAACTTCCAGCATCACAATCTGGCTTGCCTAGATTGCCAGATTGCCAATAGAAGTTACCCTCAGCGCGCATCGGGCCCATGTAGCGACCGAGGCAGACAGACCCGAAATCCGCCTGGTCTTGGCAAGTCCTCTGCTCGTGTGGGCAGCAGCCTCTGAGGGTTCCCGCCCCCCTGGCGTCGAGAAAGAGGCCTGTCGACACCATCCCCAGGCATCCACAGGCACGGAACCTGCCGCATCTTGGTGCATGGGGCTTCGAGCCTGCCGGAGGCTCTCGGAGCGTCGGAGGCCGAACAGGCTTCGAACACCGCAGGGGAATCAATGATTTCGCCTTTTGGGGCCCCTTGGACGTGCTCTTGGGGCTCTCTTGGAGCGTCTTTTGGGCCCCTTGGGCCGTCTGGAGGCCATCTTGAGCCGTTGCCACCGAGGTCTGCTTGAGCCCGTCGTGGGCTGGGAGGCCTGGTGGTGGTGGTCTACGGATTCGTGTCGCGTCGACGTGGGCGCTGGCCTCTGGCGCTGCGCAGATTCGCTGAACGTTCCGCGACCTCCGCGATCCCACAGCAGAGGTCGCTCGAGGCTGGCCTGCTTCAGGCCGTCGGTGGCCGTCAGCATGGAGCGCCTGCGCAGGCGTCATCGCCGCGTCGACGCGGCGCGAGCCTGCCCCCCTCTCCTTTCTTCCGTGCTTCGGCGGCGCGCCCGGGGGGGAGGTGAGAGGGGGCAGACCTCCGAAGGCAGCGGGGCTTGTCAGAAGGCGTCCGGCCATCCGTGAAACTCTTGCAGACGGTTAAACCGAATGTGCGCCGCGCTGAGGCGAGAGCCACATTTTGAAAACGACCCGCCCTAAATCCCTCAAGCTCTTGCATACGTTTACAGCAAATGTGCGCCGCGCTAAGGCGAGAGCCATATTTTGAAAACGACCGCCCTCTATCTGCAAAACTGTTGTCAGTTTTTAAGCTTCAGAATCACACATGGCCGTCTCTGTCTTCTGAGAGGGCTCAGCAAACTTCTCCCGAGCCTTCTGAGGAGGCCCACCCCCTCTGAATTCCGTGGTGAGCTCAGTGTGGGCTTTCGGCCAGCCACCGCATTCTGCTGCCAGAGCTTTTCTAGGAGCGCGCCGCCGCGAACTGCGGCCGCGCGCGCGCGGCTACATGTGGATTGCTCGTCGCTTGCCACCGCCCTCCGCCGGAAAGATACGCTGCGGAGGGGGCGGCTGAGCGCAGTCTAGCGACCCTGAGACTCGACGTCGGCACCAAAAGGGACAAAACATCAAGGAGCCGTCAGCCTTGATTCTTTATCCTCTATCCTTTATTCTCGAATCTCGGTCCTTGCCACCTATCCTCGATCCTCGAATCTCGATCCTTGCCATCGTGTGAACAGACTGGGGCTGCATAGCGCACTTCCTTGGTGCACTTCCTTAGCGCACTTTTTCGTCACCATTGCGCAGGGCTGTTGATTGTAGGACGCGTGGGATTCACGGGAGCGGGATGCTGAATCAGAAACATTTTGTTGACCCATCAGAACTTATTTCGGTGGGGACGCGTTGCAATCCTTACGTTGACCTCTGCTTTTTGTCCAGTTTGCCACAGGTTGGTCTGCCGATTGGAGTGGGGGCGGTGTCCTTACGCGGTAAGCACCGCCGAGGGCAACGCACTCTCGGGAGTTGGACCCCGAGGGAAGGGACGAAGAGCATCAATGACATGCGTGTCGTTTTTCAAGCTGTGCCGCCCGCTGCGCCACCCGCAGGGTTGAAGGGAAGTCCATCACAGCATAACTTGTCAGTCAGCGTGTAGACTAGCACAGGGACTGGCCAGTCTGCAGCGGCGGACGACCCCGGAACTGCTGGTCAAGTTGTGCGTGTTCCCCGGTCGTTTTTTGCTCAATTGCCTGGCAATGACTCCTTCAGCAGTAACCCAGGTCGCCCCCAGTGGCGCGAAGAGAATCGCGCTTCGCGCATCGCGGCCTAGGCCTGGGGCGCTTCTCCCAGGCGGCTTCGCGAGGGCACAAAGAGAACCGCGCCTCGCATCGCGGGGCGCGATGCGCGAAGTCAGGTGGTCGGGAGAGCGCCCGACCAGCATGATGAGGATGCTGCCTCTGCCCTCCGCCTTCCGCACGGGTACCCGCGCGTGCTGACCACCGCGTCCTCGAGGGAGCGCACAGCCCGTGGGGGCGAGGGCTTCTTCTCTTTAGGGCGACGCGCCGGGCCCCTCTCACAAACCCGGCGAGCCCCAGACACCCTCGCGTCGTTCAAGCAGTGGCGAAGCGTCTTGGCTCGCCTATAGCCCTACCAAACACTGTTCTAAGAACATTGTGTGGTTTCCACACAATGTTCTTAGAATATTTCTGGCGGAGTCTGTCTTGTTTTAGCACGTCGGGTCTATGTTCGTTCTTAGAACATGGCTGCGTTCTAAGATCATTTCGTGGTATGACTATAGGAATGCCGGGACGGTCGGTCCCTGCTCAAGTCGTGAAAAGGTGAGGACGGAAGGTGTTTTGCAGTTATCGGTCTCTGGGGGGTCTCGCTGGGCCCCGGGGCCGTCAAAGAAGGGTTCAGTGTGAAAATCCGACCTTGAACAAATCATGACCGTTGCGACGACGTGCCCCCCCCTGAGATCCGACGCCGAGAAAGCAGTGCAGCACCGTGAGAGATCGCTCGGCGGCGCGCCTGGGGGGAGGCAGAGGGAGCGGGCCCCCTCAGAGAGATCAGAAGGCCTCCGGCCTGCTGAGAAGCTTTCTCATCGTTCCCCAAGGCCACAGACGGCTTCTCAGAAGGCCAGAGCGCTTCTGAGAAGCCCCGTCGCCTTTGAGAAGGCGTGCCCCTCTCACTTCCCCCCTCGGCGCGCCGCCGAAGCACGACCAGAGCCCCAGACCCTGACTCTGCGGCGTCTCCCGAGCCGGGCCGATCTGTGCGGGCCCTGTGCGAAGACGCCCTGGGGGGGGAGATAAGGGCGGCGCCCCGATGTCAGGGTTCCTGGACATCCGACGCTGTGATCTCGTGCGGCCGGCGGCCTCAGAGGGCTCTTTGACCCCCTCCCAGAGGTAATCCGTCTTCGAGCATTGACCCCTTCCCAGAGGGCTCTTTGACCCTTTCCCAGGGCTCTTTGACCCCTTCCCCCCTGCCCTCTGACAATTTCTGGAGAGCCCCAGAGCCCGAAGGCGGCCCCTGGAGGCCGAAACTGACGAAAAACGCCGGGACTGAAATCCGCCGGTTCCTCGGCCCCGCCGGTGCCT